CAAAATGTAAGTAGTAGTTGCTATTGACCGCCTTACCCTATATTAGGGACGGCTTGTGCAGATAGCCCTTGTGTAGCTTTGCGCAAATATCTGAAACAAACATTTTCAACACTGGGAAGCAGACTAATGCCCCTATGAGTAAAAAATAAATAAAAAAATCTAACCTCCCACAGATCCTAGTAGTTACGGTATATTAGCATTGTTAGTGTTGATAAAACTACAGAAAATATCCTTACAAAAAGTGTTGAATTAATTTAAAAAATCTAATAATAATAACGAATAATTTATCTAAATTTCTTTTGTGTCACGGAAACAATTTCTAAAAGCTTCAGTCGCTAGCCACTCACTTGAGCTTCATTTGTGGGGCCCCTCAGTAGCACAGCGGTATGTCTGCGGACTTACAACGCTAGAATCCGGGTTTCGATACCCGTGGTGGGCAGAGCACAGATAGCCCATTGTGTAGCTTTGTGCTTAATTACAAATAAACAAAATCATTTGTGGGTGTAGAAAAAAAAAGCATTAGACACAGTTTGGTACAACAACCATACCTACAAATTAATTGCGTTCACACCACTCCCAATTCCTTTAAATTGAAATTGGTAGATAGAAGTCAGTATTAACAGTTCAAAAGTTTCTGCTTTCGCTGATGATCCAAAGGGTATGGTTATTGTTACGCTATTATTATTATTATCTATTCATTTGTCAACAATATTGTAATCAAGTAAAGAACAACAGTAACTTAATAAATAATTAAAATACAACATTCTATTGTACATTATTAAAATATATTTATTAAAGCCGTCAAGAGTCCATTTAAAACACTATATATTTCGATGTGTGTATTTCATCTTCAGCAAAAAAACTCATTGACTTCACTAAAAAAGTAACGTAATAAGCTTAATCCTGTTGAAAGTCGTATTGTTAATGATTATTCAAACTTTATTCTTTAATTGAGTTTTTATAAGGTACATTTTCGTATGAAGATTTAAATAAAGTTTCTGGGAGTCATTCATGACTACAGATCACATTAATACTATTAGGATTAATTATTTACTAAATTAAGTGATTTTGTGACTGTAGAGTTTAGGGACAGTAAATGATCAAAGAAGATACTATCATTGAACACATTTTCGATTGGAATTTATATCACACAATTAATTAACGATCTAATAATTGTAATGTCTATATTTATGAATATTATTGTTGCTAAATGTTAAGAGTAACTTTATTATTTATATACGTTAATGTATTTTGTATAATAGGATTGTTCAAGGAGGGAACAATGTTTTAGGCTACACTTTTAAAGATTCAAACGTTTGTATCATTGCTTGTTTAAAGAGAGTTTATAACGTCTAGCAGGCTAGAAAACTGCCGTTAAAAAGTTTAAGAAACAACTAATATATTCAACCCGAGTTAAACGAGACTGGAGTATATTGCTGATGTATTAGTGAGCCTCTTGCAGTGGTTGAACTGATTATTGAGCCGGTGAATGAACTAATGTAATTCTGTAAATTTTGAATTTGTGTTTCAGCGAAGTTATGTTGCTATGAGAAGCTCCACATTCCTAGAAAATTAACAAGCAAGTAAGTGTTTAGCGTTGTTTGGGAGGTTATGTCTACCGTTAGTTAAGAAAATTAACAAGCAAGTGAGTGTTTAGCGTTGTTTGGGTGGTTATGTCTACCGTTAGTTAAGAAAATTAACAAGCAAGTAAGTGTTTAGCGTTGTTTGGGAGGTTATGTCTACCGTTAGTTAAGAAAATTAACAAGCAAGTGAGTGTTTAGCGTTGTTTGGGAGGTTATGTCTACTTAGTTAAGAAAATTAACAAGCAAGTGAGTGTTTAGCGTTGTTTGGGAGGTTATGTCTACCGTTAGTTAAGAAAATTAACAAGCAAGTAAGTGTTTAGCGTTGTTTGGGAGGTTATGTCTACCGTTAGTTAAGAAAATTAACAAGCAAGTAAGTGTTTAGCGTTGTTTGGGAGGTTATGTCTACCGTTAGTTACAAAGTGTAAGTTGTAAAACTTGTAGTCGAAAGAATAAAACAATTTCTTTATCGTTAAATGGCCTGAGTTTTTTCATTAATTTTTACCAAATAATTCAAGAACAGAAACTGTTACAACATTATATCTAAAGCAAGTGTAAAGAACTCTAGTTTCAGCAACAGCCTACAGAAATTAAAGTGTGATTAAATGCTATTATACACTTCTCTCACACTTATTCATAGTGGACCACTTTACGAATGACGTATTTGAAAATGTCAACAGACTTACTGAAATGTATCATTTATCTTTGTGTACCATACTTGTTTAAAGAAGTTGACAAATCTTATTTAAAATAACAGCAACTTCTCACATGTCAGCTAAGTTTTCCCTATCAAGTAAAATGCCGTGGCTGTGTGGAAAAATCATTATTACATTTCCTGGGTTTGCGATGTAATCCCAGACTAATCGTACTCAAGGCTAGTGCTTTCAATACAGAGCTAGAGGGTTAACGTACTAACGATTGCTAGTAAAATACTTTTGAACAACTCAAACTACCACACCTGAAGCCATGAATGACGATTTTGATATTCTCATTGATCTGTCTGATTGCAGTTTCTCAGAACTAACTTCTTTGCACTGCCCTAATGTGCACAGTAGGGTGATAGAATGTTTATTGTACATAATTCTTCCTGGCTGATCAAGTAACAAACATCAATCAGGTAGCAGCACACCCAAGGCTTTTCCAGAATTCTTGAGGCGGCTTCTCCCCATTTACTTTCCACCTAAAAGGTTAATTAAGTGAGAGAAACCACCTTTTTAATTTTTTTTTATTTCCGTTAGAATCACCTGTACCGAGTGGTAATATCCGTTAACCATGAGCGGGATGAAGAAAAAAAAACATTTCTGAGCATCTCCGATTGTTTCCTCAAATTTAACTTACACTAAATTTTAGGAAAATGTAAACCAAAATTCTTACCACGATTACTGCGACTGACTTGAATGCAGGGTAAAAGACTTTTGTAGCAAAGCTAGTGAAATGAAGACGTGGTCTCTCTCTCTCTTGGTGTTTGTACTTGGTGAAAATAATAACAGTAGTTTAAAGGATCAAACAGTTCAGTATTCTTTAAACTAAAATAATCATAATTAATAGTCAACAATTAAATGGTTTAAATAAAACATTATGACGTATATCTTAAATATCTTTAATATTGATAATCAAGGTGATTACTTTCCCCTATAATTCAGTTTAACTAAAGTCTGTGTCTTTCTCAAGTTTCTCTCGATATTTAGCATAATTACACGATATATGTTTATATTTATTAAGCATGAACCCGCATGTTTGTTTTCAATGCCTCCAGCCTCAGCTCGATCGAGTCTTCTCCTGCACACTTGTACTCTTACTTTCTAGATCCTTGTATTGGATGATGAACTATTTTTCATATTGACCACTTTGACATACTGCAAAAAATAGCTTTATGATATCAAAAAAGTTTAATAATTTTCAAAATTTGGAGTAGTTAATGCATTGAAACCTTTAAACAGTGCTAAACATTCATTGAAGCCTACAAACAGTGCTGAACCTTTAAAAAGTCACCTGACTAATTCACACTACTAATCCCAGAAAAGATTAGGAAAACATCTGTACCTATATTTACAGTGAAAATATGAGTTCTTCATATCGTGTCAAAAAAACGATACTCATCGTAATAAAACAGATTTCAATTAAGATAATTTTTTCTAGGTGTTCAAACTGGAAAGTGTTTCTTTTGTATCTCGTCTTTTGTTTAATTTAGCACTCATGTTGTTCAATCCAAACTTCGCTTTAGGCACGTTCTTTAGTATCACAATTTGTCCAAAACTTGAACAGTTTCTCACCATTAGACACGTCTCGCGTGCAGAACAACACATTTTCCAAGTAACTTAAACTAGAAACATGTTGATTAAATCTTGTCTTTTGCTGAGACAAACACAAATTTAAAATCAGAAGCAAAAAGGAGAAGTAAGATGTTTTAACAAAGTTAAGAGTGATGAAACAATTTTCTATTTTTGAACAACCTTTTCTCTTGGTCGGTAAAAAAAAATCAATAAAATCAAATCAAACTGTTGGTAAATGCTAAAAATATATATTGACGTTTAAATGACAATATCGTTGTTACTATATAATTTCAGTACAAATAAACTCTTAAATAAACATTGAAGAGAGAGTTAATTATGTCTATGGAGTTAGCTCTGTTATGCTGTTACTATTATTATTATTTAAAGACTATTACGTTAGCAGACTGTTAGAAAAAGAACATGTTATAAAGGCAGTGTCATCGGAAAGATTTGTATATTTACGTATTTTAACTATTTGTTTCTAATGTTCTTACTTATTTGAGTATTTTTATCTGCACTGATAATCCCTGGGTGTGATGTGTTCATTATCTGGAGAAGAGAGCCATATTATATTGGAAGGAATAGTCATTGTGTTAGCATGGTCGTTATCAGAAGACGAGCAGCTCTGTCTTTTCGCAATGTTCGTAACCCTGAAATGTATCTGGCATTGCGTCGGCATTCGTAGCGATGAGGCCTACTTTTTTACGTAGTTCACATGTCTTGGACGACGGTTAGCTGTTACATAATATATATATAATATGACTCATTTGTGTGAGACATGGTTAGTTTCGAAAGGTCTGTGCGTGATAAGGTTAAAATGTGTGAGATTAGTCTTTGTACGCAGAGTGGTCATTATTTATGGGATGACTATAGTTATTGTCTGTAGTAAGTATTTGGAAACTATAACGTTCTTTTAAGCTACGGATCAGTACTTAAAGTGATTTATTATGTCGCATGATTCAGTAATATTACCCACAATACGTCTTGAACTTACAGTTATTTTACAAGATTGAATTGCGAAATGGAGAACTCTCTCTTGATAAGTTAGTGACGCTATGCTGCTGACATCTAGTGATACAATAGACAACCACCACAGCATGGTGTTCGCATGCGTAATTGGCTATTGACTGACGGGTGTGCAGTCGACTAGAAAGCTCAAGCAGAAAGAGAAGCCATGAGCTGGTAACGCGTTTGACAGTGAAGACGAATTAGCGGGGTAACAATTTGATCAAAACATAAAGAGTCAAACCTTTTGTTTTTTAGCGTGGCAAGCAGTGCTGTTGTTGAGAATTAAAGCCAACAACAGTGAATTAACATAAAGAATTGGCAGTATCACATTCTGGATATGGCTGAAAAAATGTGCTCTGACTATCAGCTACCTCGCCTACGAAAGGAATCGCTCTTCAAGGTAAGGGAGGTGGGACCTAGGCAGGTTTATAAGTTCTGTAACATCGAATTTATAAGTATATATATATACATCATATAAGAGCTATATGCAATCATCTAAAAAATAATAAAGTTGATATCTAAACTATATAACGTAGAAAAATATAAGACTAAAAGGAAATAATTTATCGAAGTATGACTTTTTGGATCCAGACTATATCATTGCTATAACGTATATGAAAGACTAAGAAACGAATCTTTACTCACAAATATGTGTAAGCGCTAAGTCAATGTAGCGTTCTTAACCCTGATATTTGCGAATTGTTAAATTTTAAATTATATTTTAGAATATGTTAGTAAATGAATCCTGACATAACATTTTTGCTGGAGTTTCTTATTTTATTATAAAAAGAAAAACATTTAGAATATATACATTTTTTAAACTGTAACGTATACTCAATTAAAAGAAGAGAACAGTTAGAACAGAATTTCAATACTACGGAAGAAAAAAAAGAATTTACAGGTTTTCCCCAAGTCTTCAGTTTCACACACAAATATCCCTGCTTTACGCTAGCGGTTGCTACTATAACCTTTCACACAAAATAAGAACTCTAAACATAGAATGTGAAAACTTCAAATACATTCCTTCATCATTCTCTGTATGTTTGTTCACATTATTTGAATGTTTTTATAACTGTGATTTGCTTTGTTAACAGTTTGATTGTTTACATTATTACAGGGTTATTTAGTGATATAATTCATTGTTTGTTTGTTGGTTTACGGTATCATCATTTTACTAGGACTACGATACACTTTATTATTGGTTTGATTGTTTACAATATTACAAGGTTATTAGAACTGTGATGTACTCCATTGTTTAGTTCGATTGTTTACAGGATTACAGAGTTATTAGAATTATGTTGTACTTTAGTGCTTAGTTCGATTGTTTACAGCATTACAGCGTTATAAGAATTGTGATGTACGTCATTGCTTAGTTCTATTGTTTACAGAATTACAGAGTTATTAGGATCATGAGATACTTCATTGCTTAGTTCGATTGTTTAAAGTGTTGTTAGAAATGTGATATATTTAATTACTATGATTTTAAATGTTATTAGAACTTCAGTAAACTTCATTGCTTTGTGTAATTTACGTGTGTATATTAAGTGTTATTAGAACTGCAATACATTTAATTGATTCTTTTAGTTTTTTACCGTATTAGAAGGTTATTACAATTACTATATTCTTTATTGCATGGTTTGTTTGTAAAACTATGCAATAATTTTGTTTACTGCAGTATTATTAGAACTTCTGTAAACAGAAATGCTGTACAATAAATACTACATGATTATTATAACTGTGATATATTTCGTTGCTAGATTTAATTGTTTAAAACATTACATGGCTATTAGAACTGGAAAATATTTAATAGTACTATGAAGTTATTGAAACTGCTATATACTTAGTTGCTTTATTTTATTGTTTAGAGTATTGTTATTAGAATTATAATACACTTTATTGCTTATTTCAGTTATTTAACATATTACAAAGTTATTAAAACTGAAATATATATATATTATTTATTCTTTTGGTTGTTTAAAGCACTGCAGGGTTGTAAGAACCGTGATACACTCGTTGTTATTTCCTAACAACGAGTATATCACAGTCCTAATTACTCGGTAATACTCTAAACATTCAAACCAGCATATACGTTTATAGCAGTTCTAATATTAGAGGATTATTAATTATAACTTTCATTTATTTCATTGTTAGTTTGATTGTTTAGAGTTTAACAGTGTTATGCAAATTCATATATGTCATTCTTTGTTTGATAGTTTACACTACTATATTGTGATATATTACATTCTTTGTTTGATTATTTCCAGTATTACATGGTTGTTATAACTGCAATACACACTATTGCTTAGTTTGATTGATTACGATATTACAGACTCGCTGGAGCTGTGATCAATCATAAACACAACTCAATGTATCTGAAGTGTCTTTGTGTTTATTTTTTTTATAATCTAATCATCTTTACAAAAACTGTCTAAGTAAAAACAAGTTAGAAAAATGAGTAACTTCAACATTTCGCAAACAATCAGTAATAAGTAAATTTATTATCATTAGTTTCCCTCTCCAGGATTTCATTAGAAAATTTTTTATCGATGAAAATGACCACGATGCTGATCGCATGAGCATGAGTTTGTAACGATACTGTAAAAGTCTCATATAGTGTAAGTAGTATATGTATAATATTTCTGCCCCACCTGGAGGAGAACAAACCATTTTCCTCCTTTCCACTGACGAAGAAAATATCTTCGAAAAACTTATCACCTCCATATAACACAGGAACATCGTATGTATATACTGCTACTCACTTATGGGTTAAAAATGCAAAATTTTATAAACAAGAATCATTAAAACGCAACCAAAAATTATCTAAAAATAACAGAAAATCATCGAAAAATGAAAATGTTTATATAAATCGGTTTCGATGCCATAACTAATCTTCCCACCAGTCAGAATTATAAAACCACCAAATTCAATGATATGGACTATTTTATTCCTTTATAAACTAGGAAAAGATTTATTTTATTCATCGACTTAATATCTTTCATTTTATTAAATAAATCAGGTAAAAATTACTTGGAATTTGTCTGAGTTGTCATCCATTAGCACATCTACAATTCTATCACCATTTTGTGCTTTAATTATTTTTAATTTAGAGATAAAGTATTCAGCACCATCTTCTAGCTCACTCAGCTTACGAGTTTCAAAATTATATTGAAGTACACCAATAGCGTTTAACGTTTTTATGCTTCATTTATTCAAATACGCCCCCCAGTAGCACAGTGGTATGCCTGCGGACTTACAACGCTAGAAACCGGGTTTCGATACCCGTGGTGGGCAGAGCACAGATAGCTCATTGTGTAGCTTTGTGCTTAACTTCAAACAGCTTATTCAAATACTTTTTTCTTATTAATATAGGCCTAATTTTCGCAAAACAAAATTATTTTAATTCTTTGTAAAATGAAAATATTTTATGGTTTTTCCAATCCACTGGCCTAATGCTCAAGTATTAATACCATCTGGTAATATATATATCTTTTAGTAAGAAGTTTAAAGATTTAAAGATATGGATTGTTAAAAACAGAATTACATTCGATGAATATAAAAAATGTTTATTTGACCAGAAAGAAATACACAGAACTATGAATCTAACAGTAAGAAAAAGCATGAAATATATTCTATTCAAGTATCAAGCAGTAAACTCGAATGACGAAATTATTTCCAACTCATCCATAAATTCACTTTCTCTTACATAATCTATAATTTTTTGTATTTCTAAGAATAAGAGAGGTGAGTTGAATAGAATAAAAGTAACGGGAATTGTGCCAATCATTTCATTTTCATAAGCTTTAACAATACTAATTTTAAATGAATGAGCTATTTTCTTCAATTTCAAAATGGACCTATTTGTCTTTTACCAATTTTGAATTTATAAGACAAATTTATGTCTCATCCTGCAAATCCTACAATAGTTTTTAAATAGGTATCTTCTTTGAGAACCATATTCTGATATATAAAAGGAGAATTAACATTTCTCATAAAATAATTATTGTTATTGTATAAATTCCCAATGGTAGAGAATGTCCTAGATACATTATCTAGGTAAGAGTTAGTAGCAGCATCGTTTTCTGCAGAAAGATCACAGACATTTATATTATTTTTCACATTGTTTTCTATTAATGGATTATTTTCCAAATATCGCAATTGTCTCGCAGTTTCTGTATTAAAGCATTAATACTTAAATTGATAGTATCAATTGATTCATTCGATTTTCTTTCTAATTCAGTTATATTAATTTCTAATGTTTTATTAAAATCTTCAAATTGGTCATTTTTTAAATTTTTTCTAAATATTTTATCAACTACTTTTTTGTTGACTGCATCAGTTTATTCTATGGTTCTATTAAATTTTCTTTGGTATTTGTATTTGCATCAAATGTTTTATCTTTATTCAGTACTAATGAATAATTTTTCAAATATTGCAATTTACTCGCAGTTTCTGAATTAATATAATTGATACTTAAATTAATATCAGCTATTGTCTCTTTAAATTTTCTGTCATATTCACTTATATCAGCTACTAAAGCTTTGATATTTTATCTATTTCATCAACATAAATTTTGTTCACTGATCCATTCTGAACATTACTTTAAATAGCTCTTACAGTTACTCCAATTAATTCCAACATTAGCTTGAGGATTTAGGGTAAAACTATTATATTCAACTTCTTGATCGGGATAGAGTTTAATATGAGGAAACCATAACGAAATATCGCTTATAATTTTCATTATCTTTATAAATCATATCATTACTCCTACTTCCTCTTAAAGGAAATATCACAAGAATATTTATTTATTTTTTCTAAAATCGTTAAAGAATTTAAAATAATGTCTACTTGGAATCCATATTTTTATTTGATTACTATTTTTTTGTTAGAATCCATCTTTTTTGTAAAACGTTCGTTGTAAAAGACATTATGTTTAAATACTGATACCAATTTATCAATTTTGACCTTATTATCTTCACCACTCAATGTTGTTGTTCCATCATCATCAGATACTAAAATTGGAGATCCGGAAGTATCTGTATAATACAACGTGTTACTTGCTTCACCAGTGCTATAATCATTCGTAAAATTTAATAATCCTTCTATATGATGTGCTAGACATGGTAATTCAATTTCTTCAATCATAGTATTATCAATATATAATTCAGCTCTTGAAAAAATATTACCAGTATTAACTAATGTTACATTATCACTACCAATTGTACTTCCATTTTGCTTTGTATATATTTCTTTGATCCTGGAGAAATATAGCCACTATAATATGATATCTTATCGTTTATACCCTTAATGTTAAATACATAATTAGCCTCCTCTTTTTCATTGATAACTACCATATTTTTCGCGATGTTGTTGATATTAAAAAATTTCTATATCATTTTGATA